GTTAGCCATCATCCTAAAACTCTAGTACTAACCCATATAAACACCACTACGAGTGTTGAAAAGTGTTATGATCGAAATAATAAGGTGTCATGCGGAAGCTAACAAATCATGCCTTCAACGACAATAAATCAGACATCAAAAGAGACATAAACATTTAACGTGGTTCGGTCAATTGACTAACATCCACATGCGTAGATAAGCAATCCACTAAACAAAATAGAGTATAGAGTATCGAGAAAACGACCTCACAAAGGGGCATATACAAATGGCAGTTTAACACTTGTCTAAAAAATTCTTCCCCTAAACAAGATTCTCAAACTTGTTAGGGCTACATCGTGGACTCTACTAAAAAAGAAGAAATGATCCTCAATTTATAGAAGTTCAAAATCTTTTCCTCCACGAAAAAGGACTAGTCAAATATGAAATATTTATAATTTTCTTCTAGAAAAAGAAGAAAAACAATTATGGTAAATATATTGCTTTTCCTTCAAGAGATAAGAAAATCAGGGCAAACACCTAAGAATCTTCTCATAATCTTCAACGAGTCCCATCTCTAACTCTCCAGCACAAAATTTATGTCTACAAACTGTCAATTTTCTCAAACTAAAATCTCCATCGCCATCAAATAGGTTGCGGCTACAATTGAACTTGCATTAATGATTAAACTTGCCTTCAACCTCGCTCAACTTGTTAGGATCAGAATAAAAAATTATCATGCGAAAACTGATAAAGCATACCTTCAACGACGATAAATCAGACAATAAAAGACAAAAAAATACCAAAAGAGACACAAGCATTTAACGTGGTTTGATTAATTGACCTACATCCGTAAATAAAGATGAACAATTCATTATATAACAAAGAGTACAGAATATTGAGAGAACTTGTCTAAAAAGTTCTCCTCTTAAACAAGACTCTCAAATCTCTTAGGATTACATTGCGGATGTTACTAAACAAGAAGGAATGATCATCAATTTATAGAAGTCCAAAATATTTTCCTCCACAAAAAAGGACTAGCCAAATATGAAAAATTTATAATTTTATTCTAGAAAAGGGAAAAATTAATTACGGTAAATATATTGTTCTTCCTTCAAGAAATAGGAAAATTAAATACGATAAGAAAATCAGGGCAAACACATAATAAAAAAGAACATCCTTTTCATCATAATAGAACATAGATTCAATCTTATATATAGAAGATTATTAGGCAATGAAAAAAGGGAGTTCATCCTCTTTGTGAGAATTCTTGATGACCAGTGACTAGGGGTGTTAATGGTTCGGTTAGGTTTGGTTCGGCCGGTTATTTTATAAATTTTGTACCATATCAATCGATCAACTACTTTACAACAGCGTAAAAGAAACTAAACAAATTAATATAAAGAAAATATAAATTTATAAATGGTCATGTCCACACCCTCCTATCAAGGGTCATGTCCTCGGTAATCTGCATAAATTTATGCTTTTTCAATTTTTGCTTACTTACGTATCATATAATTAAAAATGTTAACAAATTTACAGAATTTTAGGTTTAAATATAAATTGAAAAAAGAAATCTTCCAAAAAATAAAAACTTAAAAAGATGAAGGGTTTGTTCGGCCTACACGCGACTCGCTTAGGGTTGAGTTGGGCTAGCTGTCTTAAGGCCCTTCTCAAAGTAGGGTCGGCCCGTCCTAGCCCATCAAATTCTATGGCCTGTGAGGCCCGGGCTAGGCTAGGCTGGCTACCTGTTTTGACAGCTCTAAGTATAATTTACTTGTAGGAGTATATGAAATAACTTAGAGGTCAGATTCCTTTAGTTTCCATTTTTCCTCTCTATTCGTTTTTGGGCGGTGAAAGGTGAATATATGAGGTAGGGAGGTATTAGTGAGAAATTTGAATCCTTTAAGTGATGCAGTGTGAATTATAAATTCAATCGTCTTGGAATTTTTGCACAACAATACTAGCTTTATGGTATTTTTAGGCCATCTAATTAGTGGCATATATTCAGTGTTACACAAACAAAAGATCACAAAGGTAAGATGCTTTGCCCTCCATCCTAAGACTTTGGCATGCATGCTTATACTTCTCTTGAAGAACAAGCATGGAATTTCATGACCAAACAATTTAAGTAACTGCAAACAGAGAGTAAATGGAAACAGTACCTATTCTTCTTTACATTGCGCTGCAACTGCAAATAAAGGAGGAGATTGTATTAACTTAAAGGAAAACAAGAATAAGAAAAATGTTAGATTGGGCACCAATTATTATAGGTTATCTTCTGTTCGTACTTCTCTCGCCAGGACTCTTATTTCAGCTGCCAGGGAATCAGCGTCATGTCGAATTCAGCAGTTTCGCTACGAATGGGAAAGCCATTCTCCTCCACACCCTACTTTTCTTCGTCTTCTTTACCATCCTCATTTTGGCGTTTCGTATTCGCATTCGCTTTGGCTAGCTCCTGGTTTCCCATGTACACTCTTTTGTTTGAAAGATATTGTTAATTAATAGTTCCGTTATTCTGGGATTTATTGGATTTTGTACCGTTCTTGTAATGTTCTACTTCTGCCTTTTCATTTTTTTTTTCTTTATCTGCTCAAGCATTGTAAAAGCGAGGGAAATTCTGCTCAATATGACATTTTAATTTAGGTTGTCTCTGCTGAAAATTGTTACGTTTTGTGCATCTTAAGTTGTACACTTTTTTGTTTTTTGAGTTTGGATTCAGAGTTTAACACCTTCCATGGTTGGTTTGATTTCTATAGATGTCTGGAATAAGATGCTTTATGTGTAATATCTTATTCCCTCCGGTCCACTTTAAGTAATTTTTTTATCCTTTTTTTATTATCCATAATATTTGATTTTTTCAGATATTAAAAAAGAATTAACTTCTACTTTCCAAAGTTGCCCTTGGAGTAAAGAGCGTAGGAATAGTTTGTTATATTTATAATGAGAAATTAAGGTTAATGTGGTCAATTTCATAGTTAATTAATGTTAAAAGATGAATCTATCTATCTATATCTATCTATATCTATCTATATTATATTAAAAGCACGAATGCCCTTAACGAAATGTCGTTCGTCTTTTTTACCCTTCAAAAATAAATTTTATATTGGGCAAAATTGTAATTTAAGTTAATTTCCTAAAATTTAGGATTTCAAAATATATTCCTTATTTTAATTATGAAGAAACTCCTATATTTAGGTTACATAAATATATTCCTTATTTTAATAGTGTAAATTAATATAGCTTCTTTCCTACACGTACATTAGATATTTACTAACAAAAATAGATCTAATTCTGAGTCTTTAAAGGTTGATCTTGAGTCTTGACTATACGGTCCAAGTCGCACAATTAAACTTACAGGCACATTAGTACAAAAGTATTTTTTTAAGTAAGTTTACAAATGATATGCCTACATTTAAAAATAATAATAATTTATAGTAATAATAAATATTATAATATACTTTGAATTTTTATATATTTACATGTTGTAATATATAGCTATATTAAATTAAAAGCCAATTACAATATTGGATTTAAAATACATACATACATACATACATACATACATATATATATATATATATATATATATATATATATATATATATATATATATATATATATATATATATATATATAAGATACTCAAATTCATATATTTAAATTAATAACACTATATTATACGGTAATTTATAATATTTTCCTTAATACTTTTAATTGTACTATTTATAATATAAGTTAAATGACGTATTAATTGTACTATTTTCCTTAATACTTTTAATACCGAAAATAAATCTAAACCAATAACGAATGGATTATTATGCTTTAAGGAACATTCAAGATTAAGGCAATATTTTTTCAAATTTTCAACATCTAGTGATCTTAGTTTTTGCTGTCAAATAGAAAACCAAAAATATTTTCATATGCTTTGAATTGTTCAAATCAATTTTGAAGTGAAAAATAGCCTTGTCTATTATATATATAAGTATTCAACTCCAAAGATTTTGAGATTTCATTATCAACATTCGCATCAAATTGTTACTTTCTATATATCACACGCTTCTTACGAAATTCGGGCTCGATATTCATTTCAAGTGCAATTTCTTTGGTAGAAATCATAGCAGTTGCAAATTTTTCTTCTCTATATTTGTTAGAAAGAAATCAAACTTTTTCACTTTACAGAAGTCTCTGTTAAACTTATACATAGTCTATTAGGTATAATAAAAAATAGGACCCCCACAAAGATGGGGCCTAAAACGATTACCTTACTTACTTTATGGAAGGGTCGCCGTGCGTGCAGAGACAATGATATAACCATTTCCCTTGGAGGCATGGCGCTCGCCGCTCGGACAATAGGATTTAGTTCTTCTCTTCAAATGTATTTCTTTAAAATTTCAACAAATGCTTTCAAAATCAGTAGCTTTTAGAAGCTTGATGCTCTTAATCTTGTAGTACAAATTTTTTTATGTTGTTTTCTCTTTCAGCAAATCTAGATGAACATCTTGAAGACTACCATTTATATTTGAGAGAAATACACAAAACACATACATTGCAACTAGATGATCTATATATAACTTTGCAAAGCTGTAGCTCGAAAATAATAAGCCAAGATTCAACATGCAATTCCAAATTAATTTTCAAAATAGCTATTGTATTTAATTTTTTTAAATTAAAAGCTTAAGCTTCTAACCCAATTTCTGAATCACACTACAAAAAAATATTGTAATAATGGCGGTATTTAACCGCCGTTATAAGCATTTACCTACAACACTTAATCATAATTAATTAATATATAATTTTATGACAACTATAATATCGATAAAATTTAGTACAACATGGAATATGAATAAATATTTTTAGTGAATATTTTTGTCATCTTAATAAATCCACCAAATACACTACATCTTACCTCAACCTTTTTATCCTTGTTTGGGTCTAAATTATAATCTCCCATTATTCTCATTTCAATTCAATGGACTGCCCATGTCCCTTGGAATTGAGGCCTAAGTTTACTTGATAAGTCACGTGCCTTCCACAATAGAAGTGAAGAGTTGAAGCTTCATTCATTACCATAATATCAATACTAGTATTTTCCATTTCTCCCTTTCCCACCTACGAAGCAATAAAAAGTATTTAAAAAAATTGAGATCTGTCACTTTTGGACTTTTTGGCCACTTTTTCTGGATCTTTGGCTGTCATCAGTCGGTCTCACTTTCACATTTCTTTCATCTGCTCAAACCGACAAGTTAATTGTGTGAGGAGCAATGGCGGACTGGGGCCCAGTGTTGATAGCAGTGGTGCTGTTTGTGCTGTTAACTCCGGGCCTATTATTCCAGCTTCCCGGCCGTGGAAAAGTGATTGAATTTGGGAACATGCAAACTAGCGGCGCTTCCATTTTGGTCCATACCATTATTTATTTTGGCCTCATCACTATCTTCCTCCTTGCCATTGGCGTCCATGTCTACACCGGCTAAATTATTTTGCCTTCACTTGTTGTAAGTTGTAACAAACTCTCTTCAATTGGATCTTACATTTCCGAATTGCTACCAGATTGTATCAATTGGGTGAACTGTTGGGTTTTTTCCCCTTTACCTTAATTAGTCAAATACTTCAAAGCATTATGCACTACTTTTCTTAAGTTCATCATTGTACACGATCGTTAGAATCTGCAAATTTTTCTTCGCTCTTTGGAATAATGATTGTGCTTCAAGTACGATGATGAAAAATCGAATTACTATTCGTCCCCTAATCCCATCAAGGGAGTAAATCAATGAAAGAATTTGAGAGATTGATTTCGAAAAAATTCACATTGTGGAAAATTATCTGGTACTAGTATATACAATGTTCTTAGTGTTTGGACAATATTTGGTTGAAGTTGGAAAAAGAAGTAGAGAGTATTTGAGGTTGAGGTTGAAAAAGAGTATTTGTTTGCAAATAATATTTCACGTTAAAATTGAAATAGTGAAATAAGTTTTACATTTAGTTCCTGTGTCTGAAACATTAGACTATATACGAAAGAGAATGACTTGTGGTCAATGTACTTATAATTTTATAGCCATAGGTTATTTTCCTAGTTGATTTCTATTTTCATTGTTGTCACTGCTTGATATTACCTCTATCTATGTGAGATTTGCCAAGCATAATTTTAGTGGATTTCCTGAACTGGAAAAGAAGGATTCGCATAGCTGGTCCAACTAATTTGAGATTGAAGAGTAGTTGATTGATCATCACTGCTTATTGCTTAATATTGTTTGCCTTAACTGATGCTTCATCTTGTTCAATGATCAAGCCATTTTGGGTATTTCCCCTCGTGCTTTGCTATTCGCTTTTCTCTTTTCCTTCTTTCGGATCTTCAATTTTACCACATACGCCTAGAATCCTGCTATTGCCTAAATAGAGATTGGGAATGACTGTCCCCTTTTCCATGTTATTCCATCCAAAATGCAGGCTAGTTTGAGTTCTAGAGTTAGCTCAGACCTATCAGTGACATCTCTTGTTATAGTTTCAACTGTCATACTAAGACTAGGAAACGGGGTTTAACGATTTCTCTGGTGAATCGACCATTTCCATATCTATGTTCTTTCTTGAGGATGAAATGAAGACAAGCTGAGAATGGTTTGAAGAAAAGTAGTGAAACCTGCAATGACTACTAACTTCGCTTTTATTTTCTTATAAAGCATGTTATGTCTGAGTACTAGCAGCTAGTCTCCCTTGAGGCCCTTCCCATGGGGTTTGCCATGAGACAACTGCATGCTATTTATTCTATTTGCCATGAGACAACTGCATGCTATTTATTCTATTTGCCCCAGTACCTTTGGCTCCGCGCTCCCTTTTTTATCCAGCATTGTGACCAGCTATGCGTGTGATCTGAACATAGGCGGAGTTGTAGTGATATTTCCATTAACCAGTAAATGAGTTGCTGTCTGCAGAAATGATTTAATTGTGCCCTATCTACTCTGTTTCATGTATCTTAGCTGATCAAATGCTCTTCTCTTGGCGAGTTATGTACCGCAGTATTGGGCATAAGTGTGCAGCTCATATTGTTATTGTGTTGGGAGTGCTGGTGGGGGTGCCATCCTCCCAAAGGTTAACGCATATCTGATGTCTAACCAATGTTAAGGACCTACTGCTTATTGCAACTATTGAAATTACGAACTACACTATAGCAGTGTTTAGATGATATATCTAACCAACGCTTTGGGAATTCACATCAGCTAGATTCTAGTACTTGATGAAGGGATTTAAAGGATCTTCTTAGTGCATTCTTGAATAACAAAGAAAGTATTTACAATCTTTGTTGCTGCTGATTTTGAGGTGACCAAACTTCACTCTCTTGTCAAAAGATAAAAGCTTCTATTCTTTGATTTGGTCACTTTCTTCTGGTGTCCAACTCAGAAATTCAATACAACAGTCACATATTGTCAATATTTGACTGCTCCTAACCAGATTTCTTGCCGCCACTTCTTTGGGAAGTACAGTAAAATGACAGTTCAATTATTATTTGCCAGGGTTGCCAGCAGAAACATTAGTACAAAGGTATAGAAATGTTGGTGCATACAATCTGTTACAGTCCTGCATATTGAACGTGAATGCATTATCGGCCAGCATCCCCAGTGAGTGCGTTGGTGGAGACAATGTGTTTCATACGGTAGGAAATATTGGGTCCACCCATAAGGGGTGCTCTAAGGCCCAATAGGGTTATTAGTTAATCCTGATATTCCCTATAAAAGTACACTTAGTGTGTACATTAAATAGGCTCTGCAGTATTTTTCTATTCTCATCTCTCTCAATTTCGGTTAGGGTTGGGGTTGCTCCAACACACCGTGACAACCACCGTCGACCAGTGATTCCAGCCACGGTTCAATTCGTTTTCGCTTCCGCTTTACGAAGAACAAGTAAGTTATCGTTTTACGATTTACACGCTATCTAATGTGTTTAGGTTAACGTGTTCTTTCATTGGTATCAGAGCCATAGGCTGGTTTTCCGGTCCGAAAAATTGATTGAATAGTTCTAATTCTTTTCTACGTGAATCTGGAACTATGTGTTTATTTATTTTGAACTTTCTGTGCAATTGGAAGTGGTTAATCCATTCAACTTTTGAATGACATTTTTTTTCAAATAGAAATCATCTAGAATTGAAGAAAATATTCACGTAAGTTGAATTTAGATCTATGAATACTTTATTAATATTCTGCATGTAATTGACGATAATTTCCTACACTGATTTGAAACTACTGAGTTTTAAAACAGTCTACTTTTTTTGTGATCTGATATTTTTTTGCCCAATCAGTACTGATTGATTGTATAATTTAAAAAAAAATGTTTTTTTTTGTGCTTATCGATCTGTAACCCCTAGTCGCCATAAACAGCCGCCTCTAAACCACCGCGCCACTGCTATGAGCACTGTCAAAGACTCAAAGAACGGTGCTGTTTTATAAATTAAAAAAAAAAAAGGGGGGGGGGAGGAAAGAAAAAGGAGAAACTAGAGTTTCTCTATGAAAGCGGCAGAATAACAATAGAAAGAAGAGAAACAAAGATTTCTCTGTTTCAAATATTGATGGAGCTTTGTGCTCCAGTAACGATGGAGCTTTGTGCTCCAATAAAGAAAGTTGACGGCTGAAATTTGCAAGATAGAAGAAGTAGTACAACCTAGTTTTCCTACTAAAAGGTCAAGGCCTATGTAATTATTTTAGGGATTTTTACCTTCCTATACCATATATGAAACCTTATTACCCTTAATGTTTAAGGTTTGTGTTAATTACATTTCAGCATACCAAATTATCATTTATATACCATAATTTAAATTAGGGGTATAATTAATGCTTCATTTATATTAGGCGTCAATTTAGGAGTGTATATTCTCACATTTACCTTTACCCGCCTCTCTCTCCTCCCACCCCCCCACACCCCCACGTTTTACCTTTACTACCTCACGTTTACCATCAGTTGTCCTCTACAGACCCACGATTCTACATTTTTTTGTCCATTTAATTTCACAAAATCCCAATTTGAAGTTCCATCTGATTCAAGTTGAAGTAATCTTTCTCCCAAATCATGAAAAACATCAACACTCCCAAAAAAAAACCTTCAAAATCTATATTAACTGATATCCCATCTTTTGATTTGGGTATTTTAACACCAAAATCACCACCAAAAAAAGCAAAATCTACACATGCAAGTGAACCTACTACTAACATTTCATCTCCTAGACAAATCCGTGGGGAGATGAGAACCAAGCTATTGCACGATGTTGATGCTGGTGGAGGTGCTAAACCAGTCGCGAAACAACTAAAACGAAAGGGGAAAGAGTTGTGTGAAGATGACGATTTTGTTGAAGATTCCCCTAAAATTCCATATGTTAAAAAACCCAAGGTCTCTCCTGCTTCATCAAAACCAAAAAAGAAGAAACCCTCCAAAAAAGTACCAAAATTGGTTGAGAAAAAGATTTTGCTGAAGGTAAACATTAATTATTTTCCTTTCCAGTTTTTTAGTGTGACTTTGTTGTAAAATACTGTGGTTCAAGTGGTTTTGGTAAATTGTATAATTGTCTTAATTTTGTAGATTAGTTGTCTCAATTTTGTAGATTAGTTGTAATTGTGATTTTCAGACAGTTCATAATTGTAGTTATTTTGTAGTTGTTTTGTAGTCATTTGGGTAAATTGTAGATAAGTGCGGGTTAAGGTATATTTTTTCACTTTTTGTATGCTGCTACATTTACCTTCATACTAACTACAATTAATCTATATTTTGTGAGTTACTTGAACTAACTGTTATATTTTTGTAGTTATAGAGCTGTGGTTACCTTTTTCTTCCTTCATGTTTGGAGATAATGTTTTCATGTGTAGATTCCCCTAAAATTCCATATGTAGATTACTGCTTCTTTTTTATGCAGTCTACTAATGTTAAATAATTTATTATTTTCTGCAGAATGGCCATTACTTTGCACCACATAATGTGGATTATGGGGTGATTAGATTCCACACATTGTGTGATCCTAGCATTCCAAGCCAAATAAAAGCGTTACTCTCTCCAAATGCTTTAAATCTTTTCAAAAACACTTGCTTTGGTTACTTTTTTTCTCTCCCTTCCATTTGCATGCAAAACCAAGCAATTCATCTTCTCATGAAGTATGAATTGGCTAAGTCTAATGAATCCTTTTTTCAGTCCTCTTGAAGGGTGAAAAATTGAATTTTGGATTGAGAGACTTTGGTTTGATTACTGGTCTAAATTGTGTGAATATGTTTTCAGTACTATGGTTACACTTCTACTTATGTTAGC